TGAAGCTAGGGAGGTGAGCTGAGTAAGTCTGATTCCCTGAGAACTTCTCTGTTGACATCCATCCCTTGGCGCTCATATGACCTGTTAGAAGTTTTGGTTGATATAAGTCTCTCACATGTGTGCAGTCATGTTTGAATTGTTCTGCTTTGTTTCGTTGGGTTAACGGTAATTTTATAATTAACATTTTTTTTCTCACTCTTCTGTTTCTCAGAGAGACGAAGCCAGACACACAGTACACAGGCCGCAAGCGGAAGGGACATCATTTCTAGCCTGCACTCCTCTCCCCTTCTCCCTTTTCCCCATGTTCACGTCTTTCTGGCTGTACATAGTGCAAATAAAAATGAGCCGGCGCTCCAATACCCCCATTGTTCCTTTGGTTTTATTTTGGTTTTTTGATTTCCTTTTGAGTTGTTATTTTAGTTTTTTTAGAATACAGAGAAAGGTGATGTGGTGGTTTAGTCTCAAATGCCAAACAGGTTATCTCAGTGTGTTATTTGTAAACTTTTTTCACCTCTTGGTCATGATTTAGATCATTTTAGAGACGGTGTGCTTCCACTGCAGTGTGCATGTTAGGGGCCAAATGGGTCTGAGTGTGAGTGAAATACTGTTCTACATATCAACAGACAGATGAAGATATTTGACATTCTTGTAATGTTAAGTCCATAATTAGGGGAATCGAACCCTCGCCTTCTACATCCATCAGCAGAGAGCCAAACTTTTACTGGGGGCTCTCAAGGCCTAGAGCATATTATGATCGCCTCTCATTCAATAGGTCCCGGGTTTGAATCTGGATAGAGACGGAAAATGTTCTTCTCTAAAATTGTCTCCTTTCACTTCCTTTCCTTCTCTCTAACAATGTTCTGTCGTCTGCTTTCGTCTCCATTTTCTACCCCCACCTCTTCACCTCCTTTGCCCCCTCCTCGGGCTGCTGTCTTTCAGCCGCACCCCTGATCTTATGGTAGGTAAGATCTACTCCAAGCCTTCTCGGACAAGGTGAAAAATCTCTGGGGTCCCGTGTGCAAGTTGCGCACGTTAAAAATCCCTTGGCGGTCTAAAATCGATAAGAGTAGGCTTCGGGCAAAACTCAAAGTTTCCTACCGACTGAAAGTATCAGGTGTGTCCCGCGCGCTCATATGACCTTATGCAGTTGCGAGCGCCGTAAAACACTTCCCCCCCAAAAAACAAAAAACGAAATAAAAAAATATTTAGGCATTTACAAACACTTAAAAAATTATAAGCAATACTAAAAGTGTAACGACCAACCACCCTAATTACTCTAAACAGTAGGACACAGTAATGGAGATGCTTCAAGATTTTTAAAAACATATTTAGATGAAATTTGTATAGAATTTAGTCGTGTGGAAAAACCTAGAACAAGTTATCACCTATGTTAAAACTGAATAATATTTTAGTTCCTACATTTAGGCATGCAAAAACTTTTTAAAATAGAGCAATTACTATAAGCGTACCGACCGACCGCCTAAGTTACTCGTCAAAACCGTAGGATGACAAATTAACATAGATACGTTTTAACTGTTTACAACAAATCTAGGTTTCAATAGAGTTCAACCGTGTTCTGAAACTTGTAAAATGAAAGCACCTATGTTAAAAAAGAATAACATGTTTGTTCTTATATTTCGGCAGACACAAAAACTAAAAGATTATAACCAATGCTAAAAGTAAAAGTGTAACGACCAAGCGCCCATGTTATTTTAAAAAAAGGAGGACATATGGTCTTAAAAACACTTCAAGCTTTTATAAAACATGATTTAGGTTGGGAAAGAGTTAACCGTGTAGAAAAACCTGTAAAATGCTATAACCTGTGTTAAAAGAGAATGATATGTTGGATCCTTCATGTAGGCAATCGCACAAACTAAAAGATTACTACAGTAGTATAACCAATACTAAAAGTGTAACGACCGACCACCTAGGTTACTCAAAAAATAGGAGGACAATGTAACAAAGACAAAAAAATAGGACAAGGTAACAAAGACACTTCTAGTTCTAGCTTTTTATAACACATTTAGGTTTGGACAGAGTTTAGCCGTATATAAAAACTTATAAAACGAAGAAAAAAATGCTATAGCCTGTGTTAAAAAAAATAACATGTTGTTTTTTACATTTAGGCACGCACAAAAACTCAAAGATTAAAACAAATACAACAAGTTTAACGTCCAATTGACCAAGTTATTAAAACCGTAGGAGGACAAAGGGATAAAGATACTTCTAGATTTTTAAATACATATGTGTAGCGTGATGGCAAAATGAGCTACTTCCCCCCTCTCGAGGAAATAGATTAATCACACTCATGGCTGAAGTTTTTACCATTTATAAGTATGAAATAATAAAAGTCAGGTTATGGTTAAAGAAAATACCATCAATAGAAAATCTACAAATTTGACCCTTATGTCGATTTTTGGCCAATACCTCCATTTCTGGATTGCGAGAAGTAACTCATTTTGTCAGCACACCTCACCTATATATCATTAAATTTGGATAGAGTTTATCCACGTGGATAAACCTAGAAACTGCTATCAGCTATGTTAAAACAAAATACAATATTGATTCCTACATTTAGCCAGGCACAAAAAAACCCAAAAGATTATATAACGTATACTAAAAGTGTATCGACCAACCGGATAAGTCTCTCAAAACAGTAGGACAAAATATACTTCTAGATTTTTGAAAACATAATATTTAGATTTTTGGATAGAATTTAGCCCTGTGGACCAGAGAACCAATCACCAACATCAGCAGCGAACCTCCATATTGGCAGACACCAGAAATCACAATAAGGACAAGACTTCTAGACCCTTCTTGTGACAAGACCACACCAGAAGAAACCCTCTGAACTAGCGCCCTGGAGACAGTGGACTCGTATGCTGAAACTCCAATCCATGCACACACAGATGGGTCAGCAACAAACGCTACACGGAATGCTGGATACGGATCTACCATCAAATATCGAAAGAACCTTGGAGAGAAGAAGCAGACCCAACTATATTTGGCCCGTGTGGAACATACAGCTCTATAACTTAATAATTTCATAATTGTTCTTGTATAAAACGGCGTGGACAGTTAATGGTTGAGGGGGGATGGGGGGGGGGGGGGTCATAGATCTAGATCAAAATATTATACATGTATATTCAGATTCTTCCTCATCTTCTCGTTCATGTACTGTAAACATGAACATAGCAGACTTTGTGCTGTTGAGGCTAGAGTAGAGAGGTGAGCAGAGTTGGCCAGATTCCCCGTTTGGACTTCTCTGTTGACATCCATCTCTTAGCGCCGTATGACCGTATGTACATGTAGTAGCAAAGCTGCAAGCGCCCTAAAACCTTGGTAAAACAAAACCAAACATGGACATCCCAAGGTGGAGTAGGAAGGTTGCCATTGTCCACAAGTTTGTCCCCGTGGTTTTATGCACCCCGCATCATTTAGCAAAATTTGATCATTTTATGCATAACTTCTAATTATTTTCCTTTATCATTCTTTGTTCAAATTAACAGAATCGCATAATTTCACATTTTTGGGCTCAGTTTGCATAATTTCAGAATGTTTCTTTCATAAAAGGATGGGGACAGTCAAGTCCTCCGGACCCCTGGTGTAGAGTTGTGGGCCTCTCTCACCTGTCTGAGGCTGGGCCAATGTTCTTTCCTTCTGCCTCGTCATGCACAGTGGGAGATCTACAGACCAATCGTCAGCCTATAGCAATAATAATAATAATAATAATAATAATAATAGTAATAATTATAATAATAGTAATAATAATAATAACAATAATAATAATAATAATAACAATAATAATAACAATAATAATAATAACAATAATAATAACAATAACAATAATAATAATAATAACAATACTAATAACAATAATAATTATTATTATTATTATAATGATAATAATAATGAATTTATTAAAACGCGCCAGAATCCACAAAAAGAGCCCGGTGGCGCTCATAAAACACACACACAAAAGCTCTAACGCTCAGTACCACTACGACATGCATACATTGAAAAAAATAAAATGACAGATATTTCAGATATAGAGTTCCGGCATTATAAATACTTTCCTGAAAAACATTGTCTACAACTTTGATTTAAATTGATCAATTGAAAGAGACATTTGTGAGGCAGCTTGGTGGAATCAGGCTCTCTCAAAATAATCAAAGTGAAGAAACTTTTCATTTATCCGCAGGTTTTTTAAAATTTTTATCAATTTTCTTTTCTTTTTTTTTTTTGGCTCAACACCTTTCATGCCCATTACAGAACTCATTTCTGTATGAATTTTCTGAAAAACGTTGATTAAAGGCACACAAAAATGTAAATTTTCAGTTACTACAGGCTCTTAAGCAAAGGAAATAACTAATCTTTGGCGGCCATTTTCTCACTAATTTTATCTCGTAAAACAGATGACCCCCACCTCCTTCAATTCCGAATATCTCGACTTGTATTCAAGAGAAATGGATATTTTTTTCATCCAAATGAAGACAAATGAACAAGCTTTAAGGTGATACCAATAACTCTACATGCCCAAAAATTTGACGAGAGTCTGATTCCACCACGCTGCCTCACATTTTAATATCTAAATCCAAATTGCTCCAAAATTTTGGGGCACAGATTATAAAGGCCCTCGGACCCAACATTGTAATTGTGGACCTAGGCAAGCAGAGTTGATGGTCATTGGAAAATCAAACGTGATTCTTTTTTTTTATACGGGGCGCCCATTTCGGATGGCATCGGGTCGGGGGCGATCACCCCTCTCGTCACCTGAAAACATTTACGTGTTTGTTCTTGAGGCGATGAGTCGGGCGTGATCGGCTTGTGTCACAATAACCGCTCTGCACCCTCAGTCTGGCTGACAAACCGACCCAACCAGAGTCGCACAATGAGATTTCCGCTTCTTCATCGCTGCCGGACACGGAAGATTCGATGCCACAGTCTTGGCCTCGGACTCGTAGTGGTTCCTGTGGGTTCCAACGGAAGTCCTCACTGGGGCCGAGATCCTGTGACTTGCCTAAGGAGATTTCCTCAGCCTCGTCACTGATATTCGGCTCCAGGATTTGGCCCTCTGTGGTATCGTCCCCACAGAAGCAGGAGAAGCACGTGGATCGGACGACCCGCTTTACTTGTTTCCAGATTCGTCGACCTACGGACATCGTTGCGTCGCTTTGCCCTTCGGGTTTGGCGTTGAGGTTGGCCTTACAGAATCTCTGTGAGCCTATCGAAAGAACGACATTGCGCGGACCTCCGAGAACGTGGGCTTGCCTTCGAATAGACGCGGCACACGGCTGTCTTTCTTTTAGGGGTAGAAAATAGCTTTGTATTTCCCTGGCGTGCAGTTGATGGTAGTTTTAGTTTACGTAC